CTAGTTACCCTCCATTATCCGCAACACGTGCTTTGTACGCTAAGTTCTCTTAACAAGCAGTGTCTTTCCTCTTTTTAACTCATTTACTGCAGAACATTGACTTAGTACTATCCTTGTCTTTCCAGAACCACCCCACCCCCCACCAGTTTATCAATTATACAAAATTTAACTGTCCCTTGTCTTTTCCCTCCTTCTCTAGTAAATTGCCTGATGGGCTATTACTATTCAACTGCATACACACACTTCTCTGCCTCTCTCTCTGCTTGTGCTGTTTATCTGATAAAATTATAACCCTGTTTAATCCAGTTCATTCTACTCTGTGCCTGTGTTCATAAAGCAGCATGTAGCTGGAACAAAACACAACCTGAATAATGGCCTCTTTAAATGCATGCCCATGGATCTCAAATCAGCCTCTAATGATGCCCAGTAACTCTCCTTCTTAGCCCATTTGCTCTTTTTCTTTTTTTCTTAGGCAACTGTTTTATGTCTTCCCCTCTCACAAGCACCACCAAGACCTTCTTTCACACTCCCTTTCTCAGTTAACAATCTCGCTGTCTAATTCATTGAGATATTAAGGATTCTATTGACTCCTATCCCTCTTCTACCTACTTACTAACACCTAAGTTCACATTCTCTGCCTCCTCAACCTTTACCATCAATTAATTCTCCATTCCTCTCTAAAGTCAATTTTTCAACTTTTTTATTGGCACTTCTCTCCAGAACTTCTTTCTCCCTTACACTATTAATTGTTCTCTCCTGTTGTTCCCATTAAGAAGAGAAGGAGGGAGGGATGGGGGAAATTACATATATTTTCTCCTATTACAAAAGAGAAATAAAAGCAAAACCAAACCTTGTTTTGCTATTATTCCAGGTCTTTGCCTCCTTTGCCAAAAACTCCTTGACTGGGATGTCTGTTTCAAACTGCTCTCCTCCACTTCTTTGCCAGATTGTTCTGGTTATGTTTTTGCCATTCCTCACAATATGTGTCATAGAAGACCCTTTGTCAAGGTCATGATTGCACATAACCACTCCATTATTAAATCTAATGCTCAATTCTTGTTTTTTAATTTACTAGATTTCTCATCATTTTCTGACTTGATTTATTCTTCCCTTTTTCTTAATGCATTCTCCTATGGCTTTTCCAATATAATAGACTTTTTTTCTTCTAATTTACTGGTCACTTTCCATTTCTCTGGCTAGGCCCCCTGCTTCCACCTGAGCCCTGGATGTGGAATAACCTAAGACTCAATCCTTGGTTCTCTTCACTTATCCACCATCATTACTCCCTTGATGGCTTTAGACTCTCATGACTGAAAACCCATCTGTTAGCCAATAGTTCCCACTTTCACTATCCTGTTTCCAGATCAGACCTCTGTCATGATCCATATAGACTTTGATATTTAACTTTTGTCTATTGAACATCTCACTTGTGAGTCTATTGGGCATCTCAAATATAATGCATCCAGAATTAAGCTTGTTTAGTTTTTGTATTGCTGCTAGTTGAATGTAGGGCCTTGCAAATTCTAGGCAAGTGCCGTAGCCAGAGGTACACCCCTGCCCCAAATGAATCTATTTATCTTTACCCTAAGATTTCTCTTTTCAGACTTCCCCATTCAGGCAATAATCTTGAGAGCAGTCTTATTTTCTCTCTTCCTCTCATGCTTTATATCAAACCTGAAAAAAAAAATACTATAAGTTCTACATTCAAATCTATGTAACTAATGGTTTTACACTACCCTATTGCTCTCATTTTAGATAAATTTTCAATATTTCTCATGCAGCATCTTCCTAACTTGTCTCTTTCCCCCTGTCTTTACTTTCCTTGAAAAGAGCTACTCTCAAGTGAGAAGCACAGTCTACTTTCAAATTGGAAGTCATCTCATTCCTCTATTCAGAATTCTCAATGAGTCCTCATTTCATTTAGAAAAAAATTAAAATGACTCACAAGCCACTTTACAAGATGACCCCCATCAGCAATCTGGCTGTTTGCCCCTTCTTCTCCTTTGTACTGATACTGTTAGAGTCACCCTGAATTTCATTCATTTCTCAAATATTCCAGGTGTGCACTCACTCTGGGGTCCTTTACACAAAGGCTGACTGTCAACTGGAAAACTCTTCACCTCCACCTTCTTCAAAAGTTTGCCAAATCCTGTATTCTCAAATAGACCTACTCTGACTCCTGTATACAAAATTTTCATAATAGTCTCTCTGATACCCATGATCCTATCTCCACATTTTCCCCCTACCACTTTATAATTTGCCAGTAATATAACCTTCAAACAAACTGTGCATTACACATTAATTATGCTTTTCTATAATCTTCTTCTCTCCATAAAAATGAAACTTTTACAAGGGCAAGAATTTTAGCCTGTTTTGTATATTGATACCTCCTAAACAACTCAAGAAAAACTTCCAGAACATAGTAAGTGTTTAATAAATATTTTTAATAATCTATGAGTAAAAGAAGAAGATATCTTAGTTTTATCTCATAACATCCCTTAAAATGTTTAATTTCCTTTACTTAGATACTAGGTGATAACTCAAACTTAAGTCATATCAATTTTTTCTCTAAGACGTTTACTATAGAAAAGAGACAAAAATACAACTCAAACTTGAATTAAGAAAGAAAATACATTGGCTTCGATAATTGGGAACCCCTAAAGGAGGTGAACAAAGTTGTTTCAAACACATACAGGGCTTCATGTTTTTACTGAGTTTCTCCCTTGTTTTCGTCAGCTTTTTCGATGCTGTGACTAAAAGACCCAAGCAGAACAATTGCAGAGGAGGAGAAGTTTACGTAGGGGCTCACAGTTTCAGAGATCTCAGCACATAGGCTGCTGTCTCCTTTCCTCAGGGCTCTAGCTGAGGCTGAACATCATGGCACAAGAGTGTGGCAGGGGGAAGTGGCTCACATGATGATCAGGAAGCAGAGAAACAGACTCCACTGCCAGATACAAAGTATATAACCAAAAGGCACACCCCCCATGACCCACCTCCTCTAGCCACACCAATCTACCTTCAGTTACCATTCAGTTAATCCTGTCACTGATTGGGTTGAGGGTCTCATAACCCAGTCATTTCTCCTCTAAACCTTCTTACACTGTCTTACACGTGAGCTTTTGGGGGACACCTCACATCCAAACCATAACATCCTTTATTCTCAATTGCTTTCATTTATTTTCTTCTGGAGGCCAGGCTGCTGCTTTCTGAAGAAATAAGGACTTTCTCCCTGCATCAAGAGAAAATAGACTGCAAGCCCCAAAATTATGCCTTGCCAGCATTGTGTTCCTAAAGCAGAACATTTTCTTTCCTGCTAGCACTTTAAGAAATGTCCTGAAAAGGCTTCTGACCACCCAAATGAGAGTTATCACTTTTACCTGTGAGGTGAGGGTAGTACATCATAACTCAGAGATTTGCCAAGGTAGGGAAGCTAAATAGAAGACATTTACTTCATACCATATTCTGTTTTTTCCATAAGCTGCAGACTAGAATGTTTCAGAGCCCAATTTCTATCTGATGTTACAGATCAGTCTAAAGTGTAGGGAAAGAGAGTAAGACAGAAGGAATTTAATTGGTACTTCTCCAAGCAAGTAGGGTAAGATCTGAACATACCACTATATGATTTAAGTATACTTTGTATGACCAATATCCAGAAATTCCAGGATAACTATATTTCATTCTTCAAAATGCTTCAAAAGTATGATTCATTTTATAGAAATTGATAAATAAAACAATCTTTTTTGAAAAAAAAATGAAGTTTTACGCATTTTCATTTTATTTCAACACGCAATATTCTTATCATCATTCATCTCTCTGATCATCAGATAAGAAAATTGTTCATGCCTATGACATGCAATTCTAGGAACTCTGTAGGTCTTGGGGGTGCAAAGATTAATAACATATACAAATACTTGATTAAGAATATAAATTCATTCCATTTGCAAAACTCACTATGTAACCAGCATGCAAACGTTCTGATGATAGCAGATAACCCATGTATTTAAAAATCTTATTTATGATTCCTAAAAATTATCATATGTAATATTTATAGAAAGCTAACTTTGTGCCAGTCTGTCAAGTAGTTTATGAATTATTTTATTTAATCCTCATAGCTTATGTGGAAGGTACTATTATTAACTCCACTGATGGAAACTGATAAAACCCCAGAAGACAGATGTACAGTTCTCATGGTTAAGGAAGAAGTAAAGTTGGGACTCAAATCCAGCAATCTGATTTCAGAGATAAATTTTTTCAACACTCTTCATTGAAACTTATGAATGTTTCAATTTTATTTCTTTCTTTAATTGATAAACAATTATACATAGTTACTGTATACAACATGATGTTTCAAAATGTGTTTATTTGGGAGAATGTCTAAATCAAGTATGTAACATAGGTATTACCTCACAACTTGTCTTTTGTGTGAGATCATTTAAAATATACTCTCACTGATTTTCAACAATACAACACATTGTTATTGACAATAGTCACCGTGTTGTACAATGGATCTCATGAACTTATTCATATGGTTTACCTGAGATTTTTTTTTTATACTTTGACATCTTCTCAACCAGCTCTTTGCCATCACTGTTCTATTCTCTACTTCTATAAGAGCAAGACTTTTTAGATTCCATGTATAAGGGAGGTCATGAAATAAAATATTTTTGTACCGGACTTATTTCACTTAACAAATGTCCTCAGGGCGGCTCCCCTGAAGGGGAACCCGGTGGGCGGCCTCCCGCGTCGGCAGTGCACCCTAGGAACTCCAAGGCAGCTCTCTTTTTCTAGGAGTCTGTCTCTGTCGTCTTGCCTCAGAGAACAACTGCATCCATTGTGGGCCTAGCCTGGGTTGCTGGCTTTGAAAACAAGAAAAGGTGGGTAGATAACGGCATGGAATTTCCAGAGAAATCTTATTTCAAAAAAAAAAAAAAAAAGGAAAACCACATGGGCTTACTTGAGAGAGATTGAACTGGCCTGAGTTTAAGGGAAAGGAGAAGATAATGTGTGCCCAATCTGTAACTCGCACCAAGGAGGCCAAGTGGCAGAAGGTCTTGTATGAGCGGCAGCCCTTCCCTGATAACTATGTGGACCGGCGGTTCCTGGAAGGGCTCCGGAAAAACATCTATGCCCGAAAATACCAACATTGGGCTGTGGTCTTTGAGTCCAGTGTGGTGATACAACAGCTGTGCAGCGTCTGTATTTTTGTGGTCATCTGGTGGTATATGGATGAGGGTCTTTTGGCCCCCCACTGGCTCTTTGGAACTGGCCTGGCATCTTCATTGATGGGATATGTTTTGTTTGATCTCATTGATGGTGGTGAAGGGCGGAAAATGAGCGGCCGGACCCGGTGGGCTGACCTGAAGAGTGCCCTAGTCTTCGTTGCTTTCACTTAGGGGTTTTCACCAGTGCTGAAGACCCTGACAGAGTCCGTCAGCACTGACACCATCTATGCCATGTCAGTCTTCAAGCTGTTGGGCCACCTCATCTTCTTTGACTCTGGAGCCAATGCCCCCATTGTATCCAGCACACTGTCCTTGAACATGGCCATCTTTTCTTCTGTCTGCCTGGCCTCACGTCTTCCCCAGTCCGTGCCTGCCTTCGTCATGGTGACGTTTGCCATCCAGATTTTTGCACTGTGGCCCATGTTACAGAAGAAACTGAAGGCCTGTACTCCCCGCAGCTATGTGGGGGTCACAATGCTTTTTGCCTTCTCAGCCCTGGGAGGCCTGCTCTCCATGAGTGCAGTGGGAGCCATACTCTTTGCTCTTCTGCTGGTTTCCATCTCCTGTCTCTGCCCTTTCTACCTCATTCCCCTGCAGCTTTTTAAAGAGAACATTCATGGGCCTTGGGATGAAGCTGAGATCAAAGAAGACTTTTCCAGGTTCCTCAGCTAAGTTAGGGACCCCATTACAATATTAAGGCAAAGTGATAGACTGACATCCTAACCAGCATAAAATTGGAAGGCAGAGCCCTTCTGGAAGCAGCAGGCTGATGTGGACGAGATAACAGAAGAAAAAAATGACAAAGGCTTGGGTGGTGAAGGTGTCATTTTATTATTAAAAAGCTTTCTGGTCCCCTCTTGAAAAAAAAATGTCCTCAGAGTTTATCTATATCATGACTATAGTGAATAATACTGCAATAAACATGGGAGAGTTAATTTCTTCTTTATATACTGACTTCTTTTTCCTTGGATCCCAGAAGTGGGATCACTGAACATTATGGTGGTTATATTTTTAACTTTTTTTGAGGAAACTCTGTACTGTTTTCCTTGATAGCTCTATGAATTTATATTCCCAACAGTATAAAAAGTTACTCCTTCTCTCACATCCTCTCCAGCACTTATTTTTGTCTTTTTGATAAAAGCCATTCTAACAAGGGTGACAGTAATGTTGAACAGTTTGTTATGTGTCTGTTAGTCATTTGTAAGTTATATTTTCATAAATGCCCACATTTAAATTGTATTATTTTTTCCAGCTATTGAGTGGTTTGAATTAGACCATTAGACCATTAGTGAATACAGACCCTTTATAAGATGTATTATTTCCAAATATTTTTCCTATTCCATAAGTTGTCTCTTTAGCCCAATTAGTTGTTTCTATGGCTGTTTTTTTTTTTAACTTTGATATTGTACCATTTATCTATTTGCACTTTTGTGGCCTGTGCTTTTGAGTTATATCCAAAAATTCATTTCCTGAATTGCTATTATAGATGTTATAGAGCTTTTCCCCTCTGTGTGTTCTTTGTTTCTAGATTTTTGTTTTTTGCCTTTTTCCCCTTTTGGTAGTTTTATGTCTTTAATCTATGTTGATTTTTGTGTATGATATGAAATATATGTCTAAGTTCATTTGTCAACTGGTGGATATTCAGTTGTCCCAACATCATTTATTGAAGAGATTATCCTATTCCATTATGTGTTCTTGGCATCTTTGTTGAAAATTTAATTGATCATCAATGCATGTATGTATTGTTAAGTTCTCCATTCTATTTTATTGGTCTATGTGTCTGTTTCTATAATAGCACCATGGCATTGCAATCATCATAGTTTGGAGTATGTTTTAGTCAACTTTTGTACTATTGTCACCAGAAGACCTGACAAGAACAATTTTAGAGGAATAAAAGTTTATTTAGGGCTTACAGTTTCAGACATTTCAGTCCATGGAAAGCGGGCTCCATTGATCTGGGCCCAAAATGAAGCAGAACATCAGACAGAAGAATATGGCAGAGGAAAGCAACTCAGGTGGTGACACAAAGAAGCAGAGATTCCCCTCACTAAAGACACACTCGCAATGACCCACCTCCCTCGGCCACACCCAACATGCCTACAATTACCACCCAGTTAATCCCTATCACAGGATTAATGCATTGATGGGGTTCAGGCTCTCATAACCCAGTCATTTCATCCCTAATCTTTATTGAATTGTCTCACATAAGAGATTTTTTGGAACACCTCATATCTTAGCCGTAGCTGAATGAAGTCAGGTAGTTAGATGCATAAAGATTTATAATTTTTGCTCAAAATGGGCTTTGACTATTGAGATCTTTTGTGATTTCAAGTTAATTTCAAGATTCATTTTTCTAAGCCTATGGAAAATATCACTGGAAATTTGATAAAGTTTGCATTGAGTCTGTTGATTGCTCTGGGGAGTTTAAACATTTTAACAATATTAAATCTTACAACCTTTTACTTGGGGCATTTTCCATTTATTGGTATCTTCAGTTTCTTTCATGAATGTTTTATAGTTTTCTGTGTACATGTCTTTCTCTTCCTTGATTATATTTATTCCTAAGGATTTTAAATTTTTAAAGCTATTGTTAGTGGGGTTATTTCCTCAATTTCTTTTTTAAGGTAGTTCTTTATTAGTGGAAGAAACACTGCTGATTTTGTATGTAAATTTGGTATCCTATAAATTTACTGAATTTATTTATAAGTTCTACTACTTTTTCATAGAGTTTTAGAGTTTTACATATATGATCATGTCATCTGCAAACAGAAAATTAAATTACATTCTTTTCAACCTGGATGGCTTTTGTTGTGTGGTGGGTGGAGGGTGTGTGTGTGTGTGTGTGTGTGTGTGTAATTGCTCTGGCTAGTACTTCTGTACTATGTTGAATAGAAGATAAAAGTAGGCTTCCTTTTCTCATTCTTGATCTTGGAACTTTCATATTTTCACCATTAAGTATATCAACTTTGAATTTGTCATATGTGGCCTTTATTGTTTTGAGGTACATTCCTTCTTTAATTTGTTGATCTTTTATTATGAAAAAATATTGTATTTTGCCAATTTTTTCACATGTACTGTATTGAGATATTCATGGGGATTTCAGCCCCCATTCACTTAATGTAGTGTATCATATTTATAAAATTCACATGTTGAATGAACTATTCCATAAATGTTTGTCAGGTCCAACTAGTCTAAATTTTCTGTTTGAATAACAATTTGTTTCCATTGCTGAAGGTGGGGTATTGAGGTTCACTAATACTATTGTATTACATTTTATCTTAGCAATATTTTCATATTTGCTTTATATGTTTAGGTGATTCAGTATTAGAAGCACATATTTTATATTTTCTTTATGAATGGACATCTTTATTCATTACATAGTTATGCTCTCAGTCTCACTTTACAGTTGGGACTTAAAGTCTATTTTATCTATTGTATCATTTAGATTGAATCTGATTTGAGAACTTTGACCTTCTGGTACTTGGATATTTATATCTTTTCAGTTTTAATTTTTTTTCTTTAAACATCCTTTCTATCCTCTTATTTTTCTCTTTTTTATTGAATTCTGATAGGTCAAATATTTTCTTTTTGATTCTGTTCCATAAATCAAATAACTTTTCCTCATTTATTTCTATTCTCTTTTCTTTTTTCTCTTCTGCATATTTGCAAATAACCTTTCTTGAAGTTCTCAAATTCTTCTTTTTGCCTAGTTAATTATGCTGTTGATATGCTCTGTTGCATTTTCTATTTCATTTATTGTATTTTTCAGCTCAGAATTAATATTCAAAAAGTTTGATGTCTTTATAATTTTTGTGTTTTGCAATTTATTATTATTCTGATTTCATTGGATCATTTGTGTATGTTTTCATGAATTTTACTGAGCTTCCTCAAAGCAATTATTTTTAATTATTTTTCAGGCAGTTTTTAATATCTCCATTTCTTTATAGTTAGTTACTGAGAGATTATTGTATTCTTCTTGTGCTCTTAGGTCAGGGTTTACTTCATTGCCAGCCAACCCCTCGGAACCCAGGTTTCAGCTTAACCCTTGGAGACAAAGGCTTAGGTCAACCCACACATATCCAATCAAAAGACCCACCACAGTGGATCCAGACTCCAGACCTAACTATGTGTGGAATCAGATAATAGGCCAGTCTACTCCAGGATACCAGCAGAATGCTTATACAAGTACCATGACAGATGACCTCCCCAATAACTCCGAATGAGCTGACTGGTGAAGGGCTTTTCCAGGAAAAAAAAATAACTAGTTTAAATAGACTGGAATAGGACCCTCCTTCTTCAAATGGAAGGCCATGAAGGCAACAAGAAACATGAAGAACCAAAGAGAACCTAAGACCTAAGAACCTGAGTCTGGGTTTAAATATTGGCTGAGTTATAGGATTGGCCAAATATCTGGATCATTTGGGACAGGACAAGATTCTGTGTCCACATGGGCTATCCCAGTACTGGGTAAGCCTGGATTCTGAGTCCACAGGCGTAAACTGGTATAGCACTAGGGTCATGACATGTTCCTGGACCAAAGTTCTCATGAAGTAGAGTCACTAATACCCTGAGACCAGGAGTGCCAAACACTGTACTAAGGAAGGCCTGGAGCCTATGACTGTATGAGTCAAACTGCTTCAACAAAGGTCTTAAACCTGGGTCAGAGTTGGAGCCTGGGTCCACAGGGGTTAGTCTGGAGCTGGGTGCTGTGGAGCCTGTATGCCTAGGGGCTGGGTTGAAGACAGATTCTACAGTGTCACCCAGATGGGTCAGGATATGTGGGCTGGCCTAGGTCTGAGATGAGCCTGAGGTCTGGATTTGTGAAGACCAGCCTGGTGTAGGGGAAAGTCTAGAATCTGGGTCTTATACAGTGGCCTTGTGATAGAGCTGGCTTATAGGTAGACAGCCAGACCAGCCTGGTGCAATGATGTCTATTGTGGCATGGAGATGGGCCTGGAGTCTCCATCTAAATGTACTGGTCTGGTTTCTGTGACTGTGGAGGCCACTGGTTCTGGGTTTACTAGAGAAGATCCATGAGATTGAAGGCACAGGTTGATCTAACTTCTTTTGTCTTCTCCCACATGTAGAATAACTCCACTCTATGCTGCATGTGGATGGGAGAGGGATGACTCCGGTAATAAAACTGTCCTTTCTGCCATCTTCAATTCATTTCTTTTTATTTCTGTGACACATCTATGTGTCATAATCTCTATAATCTCTCTTTGTTTTGCTTAGCTTTTGTAAAGATATTTTAATGCATGGATGGTCATTTAAATAGGAGGACAAACTCTGGACAGTCCTTTTTGGCTGTTTCACTGAGATGTTTCATAGTATTAACAAACTTTCTACTGCAAGATGACTCATGAGTCATATAGGACAAATAGCCACAGAGTATAAAATTTTTGCTTCATGACTGAATAACTAGTGTCCACGTGAAGATTTAATATTTATACAAAAGGTTTTTTTAAAATGGTTTTCAATGAGTTATATAGAAAGTAAACTTCTACCAGTTGAATGAGATTTTTGAAATGGCCAACTTATTGCTAGATATATTTTAGTCAGAAACAAACATGGTGTTCCTGATTGTTGTTACAAACTTTGCTATATTTTATATCCAAGGGCCATGATTGCAGATAACAGGAGGACAAAGTGAGAGTACTGGTAGAGTAGAA